TATATATAATATATATATATATAATATTATATATATATGTACGCGCACACACACACACACAACACACACACACACACACACACACACACACACACACACACATATATATATATATATATATATATATATATATATATATATATATATATAATAAGTTGTCATGGGTTTAAGTATGGTTTTATTGTCTACTACTTAAGTTAAAAGTATCTCGTTATATGCATTTGCTGATAAAATTTAAGCCTGTACCCAATGAGTTTGCTGTGATACAATGGTTATGTTTATTTTGCGTAATTTGATCTTATGTTCGTGTGTAAGGTAACGATGAAATAATTTAGTAATATAGAACTCCTATTTAGTAAGCGAGAAAATAAATCAGTTTGAAAAGATTTGAAATACCGCCATGTGAGGCGAAGTCTGCACCGGAGTGTAAGCGACCGGTGGCGTGTTTGTGTTGGTTTTCGAAAGGAGGCCGTGTGCGAGATTCCTCTAGAAAGTTACCGGTGTTTTGGTTCATAATGAAGGTTTGTGGCACACAAGAATTAATCTCAGATATCCTTGATGTTTTTCACATAATAAGTTTATCGTGCCACTAAGAATTTAAATGGTTAACCTACATGAAGGTGGAGCTAGCTTTGGTTTTTGGCAAGTGTCAGACTGTGTTTTAACTTATTTGGGGGGATTAATCTCGTGATTCTAATACATATTCTGAACTAATGGTATTGAGAAAGTATTGTTAATGATTAATCTGAATAAAAAGTTCATGGGTTTGACTAAGGGTGTTTTTTTCCATATAAACATGTGTTGATTTTGTAAATATATTTCTTCCTGTCCACTATTGGTTGTGGGTATTTGATATTGATTTCCTGGTGTGATTAATTCATGTTGCAATCCATTTCTGATATTTACGATTACCATTGTGCTATTTACCAATTTCTACTCAATGTTTGATGCTAATTTCCATGTGGTATTTACTATATTTAATAATTAATTGTGAAGAATGTTTTGCGTTCATGGTTTATATTAAATCATAATTCAATTTTATTTTCAAAGTGTATCTTTTTATAATTTGAATGAGATTAATTGAATTCTTTCTTTTAAGAAATTATGACATCAATGTTACAATATATATATATATGTGTGTGTGTGTGTGTGTGTGTATATAATACCATTTAGCTCAAAGACCAAACCACGTGGTTAAGACTAAGCCACATGGTCCAACGAGGACTCCATGCCCCGCTCGTGTTCTAATAATAACCCCAAGCCAAACCGTGGGTCAGTACCGGAAACCCCGTATAAATGGGCTCACTTCGGCTTGACCCAGGGTCAGTCAGAGGCAGACGCATACCGTTAAGACCCCGCGCCGGGACCTCCCCAGATCTGACCAGTCGGGGCACCGCTCGCAGTGTCGTCTCTTGTATCGGTCATCCATTCTCCTTGTGTGTTTATACTCTCAGAAATAGAGTCGAGCCTTATGACACTATCATTACTGCCCACCAGCCTTTATGGTGTATAACCTTTTAAAATATATGTGTGTGGGTGTGTATAAAATTATATATATAGGGGGGGGGGGGGGGGCGCCCGCATGATGGGCTCTACAAGAATATGATGGATGGCGAGCTTAGGGTTTAAGGTGTCATGACTCCTGAATTGAAGAGTAAGGTTGGAGTCCGACTGCTGTCTGTCTGTCTGTCATCTCCTGCAGTGGTCTAAAGATTGTTATAAGTCACGTATTTAGCATGTGACAACCGGTGATTGGTAAGGCATTGCTACTGCAATACACTTGCGGAAGGAATAGACAACACAATATCGGAATGTCGTGTGGCAAGAGGAGAGGAAATAGCAGGTAAAACAAGGATCATGCGTAATTGCATATGCATATATATGTATGTGACAAACGTAAAATCATATGAATATGTAGATTATAGTAATATGATATAAATACAGTTGTGTTATATATCTCCCTGGTTTTAAAATGATGGTCCTCATCATAATCAAACACGTATTCATGTAGCTAAAACAATAAAAAGTAGATAAGCAGAAACAGTGGCATAACGTTATAAAAGACGTAAGCAACGTAGAAAACATAACGAGGTATTGTATGGAGCAGCTTGTGATATTATCAGGATTTGCTAGTTAAATGAGTGCTAACGGATGCCGAGAGTGCAGTATTCTGGGGCTTCAGAACTGCAGTGAACGAGGCAGAGAGCGGGCCGTTCCTGTACGGCTAACGGGGAGATTTAAAGCGTTGCGTGGCAAGCAAGGTCATGGCGCGACAGGTCAGAGGAATGGTGTTGCTTCCTGCATGGTCGTGGCTGCGTGGATGAATCCGCGTGGCAGGGATCTCGGCTCGGTGTAGAGGTGTTTTTAGTGGTCCGCGTCCTTGGTGATCTGTGGTCCAGCTGGGGTCCGGAAATCTGCACAGCGTTGGCGGCAACATATGAGAGTAGCTATGCCGGAGTTCAGCAGCTAGGCGGGCAGCTCGGTTATCCGGCCTTGGGGACATCTCAGCAGGACTAGGTCACAGTATGACGAAGTATTGTGTACTTGGCAGGGTGTGGTGTTGATGCGGAGCAGGAATTTCCTGCCACCAACTGGGTTACAGTGTGTTATGTTTGTATATGTGTGTATGTATATATATGTATACATATTTATTTATATATATACATATATATAAAACATATACGTGTGTGGGTATATATAAATATATACATATACATATCTATATCTATGTCTATATATATATATATATATATATATATATATATATATATATATATATATATACACACATATGTGTGTGTGTGTGTATGCGCGCACACAAATGCACATACAAGCATAGCATACACGCACAAACAAGCAAACAAACATACACATACACACACACACAAAACATATATGTACGTATATGTATATATGTGTGTGTGTATCATACATACACAGATGTATATCTGCATGTATGTGTGTGCGCATATACATACTTACACACACACATTGCGTGCACGTATCTGTGTATGTAATAGCTATGCATCGAGGAACCTGGAGAGCTGCACTTCCTTGATGATACAGAGTGGATGTGCCTCTGCAATCATTTCTTTTTCGCTGATATATCTGGAGGAACTCTGATCTTGTTGACATTTTCACATGCATCCTTCTTAGAACAGACATTGCCATTATGCACGAGTCGATGAAGCACAGTTATGTAATTTGCAATACTGTAATGAGGCATGTAATGAGGGTTCGCAGTTGTACGTCAAGTAATACAAACCAGAATTTCTTAATCAAGATGTTCCTCAGGTTATTACAATTATAACACAAAAGAAGTAAAAGACATCAACATTTCAGCCTTTCCTGACTGAAAAAGAAAGAAAAAAATAGGCTCCTCCGCATGTAAGCTACAAGTAACAATGACATGCATGGTGGCGAAGGAGAAAGGAAACCAGTCCGGCATACGAAAGCCTTAACGAGTCCGAAGAGTGCACAGGTTCAGAGGCAGAGCAAGGGAGAGGCGTCTATATACAGAAATCATGCTGTTATTATCATTGGCATAATGATTATTATTTGATGTTATTAAGAATACCGATAGGAATATAGAATAGAAAAAAATATATATTTATGAATATCAAGGAAAAGGGTAAACGGGTGAGATAGAGAAGACTAGTAATGGACTCCTTGGTGACTAAGCACTTGTAGACCACTCTGTGGTTACATATAACTAAACTCAGAGTGGACATAGTATGCACGTACTGTTCTGCACATGCCATCCCCGGCAGTAGTGTAGAACTGAAAAAGAATTTATAAACAATTTCAGTTCAATCAATCGCTGGGGCCAACGCCTTGGAGGCTGCACTGCGCACCCGCTCTTCGCTTCCAGCCACGAAGATTCCTCTGAGGAACGTGCCAAGCGGGTCCACAGCCCGAGTCTAACTCGTCATGACCTGATCAATCTCCGCAAGCCACGACTTCCTGGGTTTCCCAAGGGCCTCCTCCATCCACGACTATTTCTAAAGGTGGATTAGATCTTCGGTGTCTCTGATTGTGCAAATAATAGGCTATACGCCGGTCTCATAGAATTTGCGTTGTCCTCCATAAAGCAGGAAGAGCAGTATAAGGTACTTGAAGACGCGCAAGTGGTCCATCTGCAAATGTATAGGCCTTTCCTAAATACTTTTGTCGAACGAGTTCATGGCAGTTACTGCCAGGCCAATCCGTCTAATGACTTCCTGGTCTGGCAGCCCAGAGTCATGGACTACAGTATATTACCAAGGTATTTAAATCTATGTTCGACAGATATCCCAGCTGCAAGCACACACCGGCTAGATGTTTTTTTTTTTTCTAACAAGCTCCTAAATATATATATGGGACCTCTAAACCCAAGGTGTTTGCTGCTATATGCCTCGACTGCCGTCAGTAGGGTCTTCAAAACTTAAAGATGGTAACATCGTCAGCAAAATCAATGTCGGTGACCTTGGTATTAGTATGAAAATTATTAGAATAGAGTTTATTTTTGCTATTATTGCAGTAATTATGAAAATTATCATTATTATCATTTTATTATTGCTATCATTATTATTAGTGTCTATTGCCCAGTGTTACTTTGTGTTGGCTTTGGACAATAGCTCTGTCCATTACCCAATCCTTGCAACTGTTATAAAGCGGTGGTGCAAGAACACAGCCCTGCCTCACCCCTTAATTCACAGGAAAAAAAGCAAGACAGTATATGTACACACTCACACACATGCACACATACACACACACATATATGTGTGTGTGTATATATATATAATATATAAATTATATATATATATATATATATATAATATATTATATTATGTATGAAAATATATTTGTATGTATGTATGTACATTTATATATATATATATATATAATATTATATATATAATATATATATTATATATATATATATTATATATATGTATATATATCCTGGTTGTTGCTGTGCTGTTGTCTTTCTTTTTGGTTTGGATGTGTCAAATAAACTCAAAAGTTTTTCTTTTATTACGTTGATTTGATATAAAATTCTTTCGAGATATTTAAGATACAATAGCATTTCATCGTTTATAGAATATGTACAATACACTATACAGACAGATAAATATAAACTGTTTCCAAAACTGATGCAGTAGAAAGTCTTAATCCTGACAAGTTAATGTAAAACAAAGTGCGCTGCAGAATAATAGCAAATGAATGGGGCACATGAAGTGGGTGGGACATTGATCAACTACGCATATATACAGGCAATCGCTCCCTGGAGTGTGTTAGTAAAGGGGAATGTTATTGTGAAAAAACGTGCATCAATATTCGCTGTGATGATATCAGGCAGAGGAAAATATTCTCAGAATTATTTATGCTTTACAAATGACTTGCTGGTATATATATATATATTTTTTTTTTTTCTTGACTGAAAATGAGTCGACAGGCGAGATACCTCAGAAGCTCCTTGCTATTCAAGCAGCTGGTTCTCCGTCCGTTCTACTGATCAGGCTATCATGTCTGAACCATTGATAAACACACCTTTGTACACATATCTATACAGTACCGAAAGGATAATAAAAAAAAATACACATCTCTTCACCTAGTTCCCGACTTATGATAAGTTGCTTTCCGTTCCGAGGCAACAGGAGCCTGCGAGCGCTCGTCAGTTGCTGCTGTAGAAGGGGAAGAAAGGCCGAAGACTCTTGAGCATGTGAGGCGTGAGGTCGTTCCGTTTCCGATAATGCTGAAGCTGCAGGATTGCCTTGGCGTGGTCGAAGGTGCCGAAGTAAGGCTCGTCCTCGAGGACGATGTGGACGTGAGGAGGAACGTCGTGCTGCAGGAGGAAGGCGTACATGCGCTCGCGGGCTTCCTTCGACGGGTGTTCAGGTGGCGTGAACTTGTTTCGCGTCGCGAAGGGAATCTCGTTCTCTTGGGCACGGAAGCCGAAGGGGTTTGCGAGGTCTGCGGAGAGGGGACGATGGCGGACATTATCATTGGTGTTATTAATATCATTATTGTTATTATTAGGGTAGAATGGGGTAACACAAATCTGGGAGATAAAGGACTCCTCCCATATTTCTCCCTTTTTTCGCCTCAATCAGCTGATCTGGTTTCGACGCCATCGGTCTACAGTCCCTTGCCGTAAGAGCTAACTCGATCATCATCATGACAAGAGATACGTGTTTTTTTCTAATACCACCATGCTTCTTATAAGGATGTTGGTACTTTATTGATACCAGGTACTCGTGTTTTATACGCCGCGTCAATTCAATAGTGATAGATAGCGGTTTCAATGTTTATGGTTGCCATGCATTATGATTAAGACACCAAATCGTAGTTGAAAGCGAGTGAAAGTCTGATTATTTCAAACATGCCGGTTGGAGTAAAAGGCCTACCGGTTGTGGGGCAAGAGATCAGTGCAGGCATTTGGCGCGTCGATTATTACATTTTTGGCAAACTTCCTTACACCAAACGCAATCTAGGTTAACATTGGATAGCTTAACTATTCTAACATAACTTTTATAACTTAACTTTTCTAACTCAACTATTCTAACTTAACCTAACCGAGAAATAGGTTATCTCCACGCAATTGCAAAAGAAAAACAGAACGTTCTTCACAGGAGCCAGCTGTTCGCAGGACTACCCTTAAAGAGCCTAGATGATAAGCCTTTTCACCCTGATGAATTATTATTATTATCATCATCATTAATGTTATTACTATTATTTTCATTATAATTCACGCTATACTTTGTTATTGCAATAATACTCTCATAACTACTATTATTTTTGCTTTTGTTATTATTACCATAATTATTGTCATAACTAGATATAAACAAGATGAACGACTAGGTAATCAACAAGGAACATTTCTCTCTTCACGATTATCTTTTCTAGGGCCATCTTTGAAATAAACATCTGACCGGGACTTTTACACGGAAATGTATAAATAGACAAAGTGATAAGTGATTAAACTGCAAAATAGAATTATATGAATTAATAGATAGATAGATAATAGACAAGTATATAATGATGAGCAATTTTTCAACAGGTCCCTAGTGCACCTTACCTATGACTTGGAAGGCCCACTGTTGGGGAGACCTTCGCAGCCGCTCGTCTTCAGGTTCGATCTCTTTGACCTTGGTTGGGTCAGCTTTCGAGACTGTGACCTCTGATGTGGCGACCTCCCGATTGGTGACCTCCTCGGCGGGGCGAGACAGTACACACGGCAGCCACAGGAGACACAAAGCCGCTAGCCTCATCTGGAACAGAGACCCGACGTCGAAGTTCAGTGGGTGGGTGTGGATTTCAGGATTCTTAAACACGGAAGTTTATCTCTGTATGTGCCTGTCTGTCACCTTTTGTCTCTATTTATTTCTAGCTCTCCCTTGTTTATGAATCTCTATACCTCTAACTACTACTCTATCTATCTCTATCAATCTCTCCATCCGTCTAGTTATCCTACTAGCTAGATAGAGATAAATCTATCAAGTAGAATAACTAGAGCGA